ATATATATAATTGATCATCTTGACCTCGAGATGTATGAATATAGAGAAAAAAATGGTTTATACTCTTAAAAATCGTGCATCTTGTGACACATCACTGGGACTGCCTAATTTTATGATTTTCAAGTGTTTATAGATATGCTCGGTATTCATCATTTTTTGAGTTAAATTTCACGATTGGAGATGAAAGTAGAGACTCGGACCATCCAATAAGTTTTTTATGAGACTTATATCTTTCGACAGATTTGGAGGCGCATCTTGCTTTGATTGTTTAATGTTGATACCTTATACAAACTGCACCCATATTAGAGAGAGAGAGATGTCTTTTTGAGTTATGGATGAAATGGGTGATTACTTAAAAGAAAAAAGTTTATATTAGGTTGCAATCTTAAAATATAGAAATAAAGATGCACCTCAAAAATTCATCGGAAAATGTTGTTTTAATGTTGAAATTGAAAGAAAGGCTAATGCGATCTTGCAGGTGAATATATTTTTTTATTTTTCTTATTTTCACTCCTTTTATTTTCTTTTGGCAAATATTACTTACAAGTAATCTTATTACAATAACTCTTGTTTCAAATAAAATAAAACTAACAAATCTAGGATCTTAAAAATAACAAATCTAGGATCTTAAAAACCTTGATGCCATTAAACCAGTTTTCTTTAAACATATATATAAACACAATATAATTAAATACGGTAAGAAACGATACCTCAATCAATATGGTAAGAAACAAAAAGAGAATGCTGGATATTATCTCAACTGGGGTTAGTATACCCAACACCGAGTCTCCTCCTTTCAATAGTGCTCAGGATCTATGATAGGTCACTTGATTCTCCTACATATGGCAAAACCCTTTCAATGTCATATGGATCTTGATCTAGAACTAACTACTTAAGGTCTTAATACCTTAGTCTTACTTAAGCCCCATTAGCTTGATCATTTAAGAGATGAGAGATAGATCAAAGAGAGAGGGAGAGATCTAGCAAGGGGATCATCCCCTTTGCTACCCAA